CTTTTCCCTGTATGTCTGTGTTTGTCGGGGAGGAGCTACATACAAAGATGTACATATACTTATACTAGGCCTGTGTGCAGGCCTACCTGTAGGGGGAGCTGTGCTACATAAGGGGGGGGGGATTGGCAGACACCGCGTGCCTTCGCATGACTAACGGCTTTTCCTGCTGACCGGCAGAGCGGCGTGCTGGCAGTGGCGAGCTCACACACCCCCCTGACCCGCAGACAACCCCACGCCCACTTGGCTCGGCGAAGTGCCGGAGCCATCATTCTAGGAAAAACACCAAAGCTGGCTTTGTGTGGTTCTGTGTGTGTGTGCGTGAGTGTGTGTGTGTGTGAGCTCATGGATGCACACGTCCCCCTATGGCTTGTCTTGCGAGAGCATTTTCCTGCTTGTGGACACACCTCCCCTGAATGTTCACCCCGAGCCTGGAGTTAGCCTTAACGATACATCCAGCAAAAACAAGGTTAACCTCGGAATTATCTTATCATGTATACACTTTGCCATGTGGTACATACAAAATAATACTTTATTGATTTTTTTTTTCTATGAACAAAGACATTATACAGCAGGTTACTCTACATTTCCGTCAGCCAAAAGGACAGCTTCCTGTCTCCCCCAATCACGCAGAGTGGGAGGGTTCTGTGCCAACTTAGCCCCGCCCCAACCACTGAGGAGCCAATCATGACAGGCTGCAAAAAGCAGATGAGAAAGGTTAAGTCACACATACAGTACACATATGCAGCAATCTGTCGTTAAAAAGCAATTAACCTGTGGGTGACCCAAGTGATGCACCAGCAGTTGGCTGTTGATCTTTCCAGGGCATCCTGTGGTGGCAAATAGATTCTCATTGGCCTTGGACCACCTGAAGGAGAACAATGACCGAACATGTGGAGCTGTAAGGCAGAGGTGTTTAATGATCTTGTCTGCATGTGATCACTTACAAAAGACCTGAAAGAACCATAAAGGAGCCTTTACCTGAAGAGTCGGGCCTTGTCAACATGGGCCGGCCTCTTCTCCTGGGGGTAACTGTGGGATAGAGAGGCAAACGATCATTTCTACCAATGACAATTCGGCACGGCTGTCACCAACAGCCAATCAGCCACTCCCACACATCACCAAGTCCCCATGGCCAATCGTGATTTCTAAAGCTGCACTGTGGGAGTTACCTGGAGCGGGTGATGTCCCAGATGACCCAGTCGTTACCGACCACAGCTCCCACCTTGATAGTGTTGGTGAGGCACCAGTCAGCAGACATGAGAGGAGTCTGCCCACTGTCCAGGGAGAGAATGGCCTGCTGGGTAAGCAGGTCGTAGAAGCGCACCACCCCGCACTTCTCTGCCACCATCAACTGTAAAGGATGAACGGAAAACAGGCTGAGCTGGAGAAAGTGGGCAGCAATAAGGAGGAGGTGATAGAAATGAAGCCAGACAGCAGACGATGGGGAGAAGGGAGAGGGCAGAGAGAGGAGGATGATGGGAAAGGGGGAGAAGGAAGAGGGCAGAGAGAGGAGGATGATGGGAAAGGGGGAGAAGGAAGAGGGCAGGGAGAGAAGAGGATGATGGGAAAGGGAAGAAGGGAGAGGGCAGAGAGAGAGGAGGGTGATGGGAAAGGGGGAAAAGGAAGAGGGCAGGGAGAGAGGAGGACAAACAGGGCAGGGAGAGAGGAGAGTGATGGGAAAGGGGGAAAAGGAAGAGGGCAGGAAGAGAGGAGGATGATGGGAAAGGGGGAGAAGGAAGAGGGCAGTGAGAGAGGAGGATGATGGGAAAGGGGGAGAAGAGAGAGGGTAGGGAGAGAGGAGGATGATGGGAAAAGGAAGAAGGGAGAGAGTAGGGAGAGAGGAGGATGATGGGAAAGGGGGAGAGGAGGATGATGGGAAAGGGGAAGAAATAATAGGGCAGGGAGAGAAGAGGATGATGGGAAAGGGGGAGAAGGAAGAAAGCAGGGTGAAGAAATGCATGATGACAGGAGACAGTCACCTTGTAGACCTCCTCTGGGTGCCAGCACACACTCATCCCTGGGGAGCGCAGGAGGAATGAGGCCGTCTGGTTTCCTTCCAGATCCCAGAGCCTGAGGACCAGTGGAAGATGGAAGAGAGGGCAGGTTTTCAGGTACGTTCTCTCCGTGGGTAGGAGGATGATGGATGCATACAGAAGTTGGTCAGCAGATCTGAGAACGACACCGACCTGCATCTGCACCATGTGCTCAGGTGAGAAGCTTCACATGACAGCCAATCGGGCTTCTTCCAATTTTATGGAACCTTGCAGGGTTTCATAACCCATGAACCTTGTCAGAGTTGAGAAGTAAAAGAACGCGTACCCACGTTCCGACTTGATTCACTAGTGAATGCCCGTCATTCACTACAGTCTTTGACTGCTGCACTCCAGCGAGACTGGAATGAGCTTCAGGCCGGCTGATAATGCCCACTTTTAATCAAATCGAACATAAATTATATAAATAAAGATGGAAAAGCTGTCAGAAAGCACAACACAAATCAAATGAAAAGAAAAGCGAACCGAGATTCAATTAGCCGTATGGATCGAGACCGGGGGTGGGGTGGGGGGGGCAGTCTGACAACACAAAGCTAAAAATAGCCTCGAGAGACAAGATGGCATCACCAGGCAGGGCCCGTCTCCGGCGCGGCGGAAGTACGGTGATGTGTGTGGGGGAGGGGGGAACAGCCGACGGCGCAGAAAACGAAGGATTACTGAGATTAACAGGAACTAAAAATAACGACAGCCAATCAGAGGCACTTTCGCTCCCCCTGCACTCGATAGGCAGGTTTTCGGACGCTTTAATGGTCCCAGTCCCCGGTCATAGTTTCTGGAAGGTTCCATGCAGTTCCACAGTGCCGGCTAGACCCTCCATCTAGCTTTGGGAGGGCCGAGCCATCCCCGGAACTCTCCATGCCTCCAGTCCCCACCCCCCAAGAAAAAGGATTTTCTCTTAATCTGATGTCTTGGAAGAGTACCGGGCTGTTTGGTGGGGGGAGTCTAGGGTGTGCTTTTCAGAAGTCTACGCAGAGACATAAATCAAAACGTGACAAGCAAATCTTCCAGGGAAAGTAGGATTAAAAAGAAAAAAAAAAAATGCTGATGGTTCACCACATCAGACGGCCCCGACCGCACGTGACCGCGGTGAATCCACGTGCCGAGCCCAAGAGGGCTGCCAAACAAGCCGTGGGGCTGTAGGGGATTCTGGGAAAAAAACAAGCCTCTGGCTAATTGGGAGTGATCTCCAGAGCATGTAGTGATTAGGCGGAGGGCTGGTTCCAATGAAGCCCGCGGGCAGCATCCCAGAGCGCATGGAAACGGCGGCTTTCTAATCCCGGGCTTCTGCAGCTGAGCACCGCGAGCTGGATGGGCCTCCCGTAAACAACTGCGCTTCCATCGAAGACAGAAACGCAGAAAGATCTCAAGGCACAGTCCTGCATTTTAAACGGCTCCCGACATGGCTGTTAACACAAAGAGGAGAATCACACACACTGGAGAAAGGTGAGAGGTGTATTCTCTCACAATCAGACACACACACACAGGAAGCAAACACGTTTAACCTAAGCCTACACTCCGGAACACTGTCTCTTCTGCTGATACAGACAAGGCCAAGATCCCCTTTCTCCAGACCGTCAAACAGCTGATGCCATAAAAAACCAACCCCCCCCCCCGATTCCATCCCACCGAAGCGGGATGGTGAGGCAATAGACGCAGACCACCGAAGCAGGCCTTGGCTATAACTCATCCAGGACCATCATCGCGCACGGCTTACGCGCAGAAGACAGCCAGCGTCCAGGATATCGAGAGAGGAAACAGGCTGCGAGAGTGTTGGGTTTGCAGAATGTTCTTTCCAAAAGCGGAGGACATGGGAACTTGTTCAGTAAGCCACGTTACCCGCTGATGGACCTGAGAGCACAAGATTAATAATATTTATTATCCATCACGCAGCGCGAACAGTGACCATGTGCACTGGGAAGTCATTCATCATCTTTAACATTAAGCAATGTGATTGGCCAAACATCCATCGTCTTTAACAATAATAATTTTCATTGGACCAGCTTTCTACCCCCTCCAACAAATCACCCTTCTGTGATGCAATCCAGAAAAAAAAGTGTCAGTAGGAAAAAAACAAATGGGACTCTAACTGCTAACCAGTCACCTCTCTGCCTCGGGGAAGACCAATCAGACATCAGCTGCGCAGGGAGAACCAATCAGGTTCTTGCTGCTGAAACAGAGGAACCAAAGAGCTTCAGTAAGCAGCAGTGTATATGTGAGATCGACACCCCGTGGCCTCTTTCAACATCTGAGCGCTGTCTAGGAACTGATGAAGTGACTCTCTCACACCCAGCAAACTCTCAAGACAAACAGTGTAGCGGAGGCAGCAGCTGGGGCACCGATCTGACTCCGCCCATCAGCGCTCCCCCTGCGGGCCCCCGGGGGGCCATGTGTGGGAGGATACTGACCCAGCACACTGCAGCTGGCTCAACCAGCCTTCCCTCCCCGCTCCATCCAGGTCCGCTCTACCCGGCTTGCTGGGGCTTCAACTTCAGGGGCTGCTTATGCCAACCCACTTCCAGAATGCTCCATCCCAGAATGCTCCCCACCCCAAAAGCAAAAGTAAAGTGAATGTGATTCATTGTCATTGTTGACACACAACAGCACACGGTGCACAACAACGAAACATGTCCTCTGCATTTAACCCAAATGTGACTTAGCAGGGGGCAGCTAATTCAGCGCCCGGGGAGCAGTGCTTGGGGACGGGACCTCGCTCAGGGTACCTCAGTGGTGCCTTGCTGGTTGGGGATTCGAACAAGCGACCTCTGAATAACAAGTGTGCTTCACTAACCATTAGATTAAGCTCCTGAAAGCAAGTGATGGGATCAGGAGTTCCTGAGAGCAGCATGGCACTCGCTCGCACGCTAACACTTCAGGCCCCGCCTTCTCTCGCACACCTACAGCTCACATTTACACAAACCGGCTCCCATCTCCCACATGTTCCTCGGTCTTTCTTCTAATCCGGAGCAGCGCTCCCGTTTTTCCTGGCCACACCACAGACATTCCCCCACCACAGCTCCCCTCCTTCTCCTGGGAACTCCACACTTCCCGTACCCAGACTGGGACAACGGGAGCAGGGCAGCCAACTGCCGCCAGATAAGCTGCTTCACGCTGTGCTACGGGCTGGAACAGGTGACCTCACTGCACAAGGTCAGGGGTCGCGACCCATGTGAACCGACAGCCCTCTTGGCCTCTCAGCTGCTGCATTTTCACAGACAGTCAGAGCCCAGTCAGAGTCTTTATCTCCATATCAGTAATCAGTAACGTCTGTGTATGTGTGTGGGGGGGGGGGTTACTCGCAGGTGCCAGGAGCAGGAAATGCAAAGCTCAGTGGGACAGTCTTAAGCAAACTGCTGAAATCAGGACCCACCCATCCCCCTTCCTCTAATCCTGTTTCCTTAAGATGTGTGCAGGTGTCCTCCTGTCCCCCAGGGGGCGACGCTGAGGTATGGGTTGCTGGCACAACTGCGAAAACCACCCCGCACGCAGGAAGCGTTTCCTCGGATTTGGAACCTGCGCTTCCTGGGTTTTTCCTCCCGCCACCTCCACGTGCGAGCCGGCATGTGAACAATTTACCCCAGAGGAAGACCCCCCCCCCACCAACTGCCGCCTCAGAGCCTTTCCACGTTTAAGCAATTAGCCAGACAAGCGGAGCGGCGTGAGGGACGCAGTTCGGTGCGGCTCGGCCTTGTTGTGCTAAGCGTCCGGTTTCTCCATGGGAGCCCGGCGTCGGACTTTTCTGCACCATTAACACAGAACAGAGCTCACACTCACTACGTGGGCTCAGACTTACTGCCACACCCTTCGACAGAGCGTGAGAGAGGGATGGAGAGAGAGAGCGAGAGAGAGAGAGCGAGTGCACAGTGGCAGGTGGGACCAACCTGCAGGTGAGATCATCGCTGACAGAGGCGAGCTGCTTCCCCTCCGAGGGCTCGAACACCAGGTCGTTAATGTAGTCGGTGTGACCTTCCATCACCTAGGCCAGCAGGGGAAGAAGCAACTGAACGCAAAAACTGTTCTGAATTCAGAGGGATGTCGGTGTTACTGCTGTGTTATTAATACCTATCCATCCATCAGGCTTCCATCCACTTAACCAGGGGAGCACTGAGACCTGTCCCAGACAGCATGTGACCCACGGCAGGGGAGTGCCAGGGCACTGCAGGGCACACACACATGCCACAATCACTACTCTGGGCAGTTTAGAGAGGCCAGTTAAACTACCTGCATGTCCTTAGACCGGTGCGTCTCAAGCCGGTCCTTAGGGACCCCAAGGCTTAGGGTTTCCCAGCTGCCAAGTTTTAGACCTGCTTTAGATCACAGTAGCCTTGCGGCACCAAACCCAGACGGGTCATGTAAACTCCACACATGCAGAGGGGCGGAACTCGAACCGCAAACCTGAAGGTATGAGACAACAGTGCTGCCCACTGCAGCACCACGCCACTCTACAAGACCCTGGACATATAAGTAAATAAAACAAATTCATTCATGCAAAATTGATGTCCCACAACCCTGCTCATGGTAAGTGGTTGGAGGATGGATGGATTAATGCAGTATTTCCCAACCTAGTCCTAAGGAAACCCCGAACAGTCCACGTTTCTGCTCCCTCCCAGCTCCCAGCCAATCAGGAACAACAAATACCTGGTACAGGCGTGCTGGGAGCAGAGGGGAAGCAAAAACGTGGACTGTCCGGGGTTCCCCGAGGACTGGGTTGGGAAACACTGGATTAATGGACAATTCATGTGTTCTGAGACTTTTACAGGGCCACAGCTAAGCCTAATGAGACGCTGGAGTTGCTTGTAATTTTCAGTGAAGGATATATATCTCTATAGGGCAAAAGTCACCGGTCAAAGGATTGTGGCACGGAAGCAGTACCTGCATTTCATGTCTGTCTTGAAGGTCTGACGTCAACAGCCTGAGCTTCCAGTCCACCGCTGCTGTGCAAAATCTGCCACAAGAGGGAGAGAAAAGAACAGCTCAGAAAAAAAGGCTAAAGGAAAAGAAAAGAAAAGAAAAATATAAGGGCAGTTGTGAAAAGAGAGGAATGATCCTGATGTCATGTCCGCAGCCCAGTCTGAGATCCACGTGTGCGATTCTTTGGTTCATGTACGCTGCAAACCTGCTATCCATCCTCTGGAGAGCGACCCTGCTCGCGTGTGCCTGCGTGTTGCGTGTGCTCGCAGTGACGAACCGGCTGCCTGCGAGAATTTAATTACAAAGATAAACACAGGGAAAGCACCCTGGAAGGGGCCACCACAGGGCACGCGCTCTGGGTAATCAGGCCCCGCGCACACCAGCGACTGCAATTACTCACACGATTACACCCAACGTGCTTCTGACAAGAAAAACACACGCTGCGTGCACTGCGCGCTCGGCGAAGGGACGGCTTCGGCCTCGCGTGATTGCATGCAGACCCGCAGACGACGCGCTCGGCACGGCGCTGTGTAGACTCAGCACGTGGATTCCTGGATTATGCGCAACCCTTTAAACTCTGTCCAAATGAGGAACGCCAATGGTGGTAAACAGGTGGACGAGGCCTGTTCGGCTCTTAACATCAAAACACTCTCCACACTGCATTTGCACTGTAACTGGACACTGACGTAGCATCTGGGAATGAAATGGAAAGGCGCCTCAGTAACAAAGGGTGCCGGCAATGCTTGCGGGTGACTTGGGGTGCCTGGTGAGTGTCAGCCTGGCCTAGAGGAGCACAGAGCATGTCCACCATTCCTCTAAAGATCTGTGGAGCTATATGCAAGAGGGTAGGTTGGGAAAGGGGGCTGGAGCTCAACAGCACCAGACCGAAAAAGCACATTATACAGGCAGCCAGGGACACAGAGCATCACTGCCACTCTCATCCAATCAGGTGGCTCACAGCTGCCCTCCTAACCCAGCATTCCTGCAGTTGATGACTACCGAGATGTTTAATGGTCAAAACTAGTGGGAAGCATTTTTACATTTTATTTGTTTGGCAGATGCTTTTAAAGCGATGCATATCATTGAGAAAGCAGCCAATCAGCCAGTCCCTGGATCAACTGGGTGACATCACCCTGCTGACTATGGGATTTGAACCTGAAACCTTCTGAACACAGACACAGTGTCCTAACCCACTGTGCTACACACTGCCCCCATAAAACAAAAAGACTGTAACAAAGACTGTTATGTATATATTAAACATGGGGACAAGGTCACACATATCCAGTGCAATTCAAGACCAAGACCCTTGAAGGACAAAGCCCGAGTCAAGAACGAAAAAATAATAATAATAATTAAAAAATCAAGTCCCTTTTCGAGACCATGGTTTTAATTATACTTATTTACTATCATCATCACGACTCCTAGTAATTAAAAGTGAAATTTTATTTATGCATGATAATCCTTTTATCTCAATCATTACTATTTAATTACAAATTCGACACACTAAACCTTGCTAACCTGATCAAATTTCCATCAGGGTAAGAGATGTGTATGAAGCTGTATATGCAAGTTCTAGTTTGTATTGGTTATTTTGGCTGTTTATTTGAAACAAACAACATGACTAGCACATAGTGTAATTAGGGTCCCAAGGTGCTTAAGTACGAACAAATCTGTCCCTGAAGGCAAGGGGGGAGGATCACCGGCACATTCGGATAATAAGAGACACATCAAGTACTGAGTTGGTTTAGAAAGGAACACAGTATTAATTCTTTTTTTAATATGGGACAATCCTGTAATGTATGAGAAAGGTGGCAACTCTATTCAGAACAAAACAATCTTTCGCCCCCTTCAGTTTCATCAGCTCAGTGATGTTTAAAACCAGTCAGGATGAAAAACGAAGAAAGAGAAATGATTTGTGGTATGTCTGAGGATTCCTGCTGTTTTTTTTCTACGAGAGGAACCTGATATACAGTGCTGCTTGAAAGTTAGTGAACCGGTCAGAATTTTCCATATTCCTGCATAAATTACTTAAAACATCATCAGATATTCACACAAGTCCTAAAAGTAGGTGTAGAGAACACAAGTAAACAAATCAGACAAAAAATATCACATTTGGTCATTTATTAATTGAGGAAAATGATCCAATGCCACAAATCTGTGAGTGGCAAAAGTATGTGAACCTTAGTATTTGGTGTGACCCCCTTTTGCAGCAATAACTGTGAATAAACGTATCCAGTAGGTCTTCATCAGTCCTGCACATTAGGTTGGAGGAATTTTAGCCCATTCCTCCATACAGGTTTGCCTCAATTCAGGGATGTTGCAGGGTTTTCTCACATGAACTGCCCACTTCAGGTCCTTCCACACCATTCCCACTGGGTCATGGTCAGGACTGTGACTTGGTCGTTCCAAAACCTTCATTTTATTCTTCCCCAACCAGTCTTTGGTAGAACGACTTATGTGCTTGGGCTCGCTGTCTTGCTGCATGATGCAGTTTCTCTTGAGATACAGTCCACGGACAGATGTCCTGACATTTGCCTTTAGAACTCGCTGTTATAATTCAGAATTCATTGTCCCATCCACAATGGCAAACTGTTCTGGCTCAGACGCAGCAAAACAGGCCCAAAGCATGACACTACCGCCGCCATGTTTCACAGACGGGATGAGGTTCTCGAGCTGGAATGCAGTGCTTTCCTTTCTCCAAACATAACACTTCTTATTTGAACCAAAAAGTTCTATTTTGGTCTCATCTGTCCATAAAACATTACTCCATTCACTTTCAGGCTTGTCTACACACCCATCAGCAAACTGTAGACAGGAAGCAATGCTTTTTTGGAATGCAGTAACTTTCTACTTGCAAACCCGCCATGCACATCACTGTTGCTGAGTGTTCTTCTGAAGGTGTATTCATGAACATTAACAAATGTGAGAGAGGCTTTTAGTTGCTTAGAGGTTACCCTTGGTTCTTTTGTGAGCTCACAGACAATTACATGCCTTGCCCTTAGAGTGATCTTTGTTGGTCGACCACTCATCTTAAACTTCCACCATTTGTACACAGTCTGTCTGTCTGTGGATTGGTGCAGTCCGTACTCTTTCCCAGCATGATGAGCATGAACAAGTCTTTTTCTGAGGTCCTCTGAAATGTCCATTGTTCGTGGCATGAAACACTGATGACTCCACAAACGTGTTTGAAGACGAAGCCTTTGACAGAAACCTGTTTTTTTTTTTTTTAAATAAAAACAGGGTGCCCATTCACAAATGATTGTCATCACATTGATCGACAACCATGACATTGATTTACAACACCTGACTCTAATCTCACCTTCAAATTACCTACTAGGTTCACATACTTTCGCCACTCACAGATTTGTTAGATTGGATCATTTCCTCAATAAATAAATGACCAAGTATAGAATTTCTCTTGGTTGTTCAATCTTGCTCTCCTACTTTTAGGGCTTGTGTGAAGATCTGATGATGTTTGGATATTTATGCAGGAATATAGAAAATTCTGAAAGGTTCACTAACTTTCAAGCAGCACGGTATGCAAAGCTGATGATGTAATGATAAGGCAAGCCAATCAAAGAACTCATATCAAAGGCCTAAAAACAGCATTTAACCTTATACCCGAGTAACTCGCAAGAGATTCCAGGGAAAACTAACCGTGTAAAACCTAAATGGTGACCACGGCCACTGGGATTCTTACCATATCCCCTGGACTGAGCGATTTAGGGCTTGCTATATAGCAGTGTGCACTTGCATGGGAGAAAATCACTTTTATGATTAATGTAGCCAAATTGAATAACAGCATCTTGTCTGTTCCAAAGGGTTTTCCAGGGTAGCACTGCACTGTGACCGTCATTAAAAAAATAAACAAATACATTTCTATACAGCTAATACAATGAAGGTGAATAATACATTTTTTAATCAATTGTATTTTATTAATATGTATTGTTATTTTGAGAGAAGTAAGAAAAATTAGAAAGTTTGTCACTGTGGTGAGAGAAAAAAAAATCAGTCTTGTGTCTCGCTCTAAAATGAAGAGTCTGAAATAATGCTGTAGTCCGAGACTGATTCAAGACAGAGTAGAAACGCTTTCAATTCCGTGACAAGACCGGTTAAGTGAAAAAGTGGTGTCAAGACCGGACTCGAGTACTCTATACTCTGCATAGGCACATCACATAGAGACACAGAAGGCCAGTCACCTGATCAGCTGGGGCAAATGGTCCAATCGGGATTCGGGGCTCCAGGCGAGACCATCCACTGGCACCCCATGATGAAAAACGCGCAGTGTGGTGAACTCTACCCCCTCCACTTCCGCGTCTTCCTCCTGCACACCCACACACACAAACACCGGGAACAAAGAGGAGGAAGAAAAAAACTGAGGAATTAATAGAACACTCACAGGTGGAAAACGTCAACTACACCCCCTGCAAGTAGCCATGTTTGCCACTCTGCTGACTGAAACGGCACGTCCCTGCCACCCACCTGGAAGCGGCAGGCACCCACCACCACGTGCTGGTTCCCCCCATAAGCCAGTAGGTTGCCAGCCACGCCGCTCTGGAAGGGGCTGAACTCCACCACGTTCACGTAGTCCTCGCACGGCACTGTGTAGCTGGCGCTGTGCGCCGCCTCCTGCTTCATCCTGCTTCCCAGCTCCAGGGCTCTCAGTCCCAGATCACCTGCTGACGTACGGCACACACGTCTTTCAATGGGATCGCCCGCAAAGCCTTACCCAGGATACGATCCAGCCATGCTGAGTAAGCCCGACTGAAACAACCTCCTGCGGTGCATGGGGGTACTGAGAAGATTATCGCACAAAAGATGACCGCACAAAAATGTCACCAGCCACAGAAAGTTTTAGAATCCCAAAAGCAGGTTCGCTCACACATCCCTTAACCCCTGCGGACCTGCTAAATCTACCTTGAATACTGTAAACGCACAAGTGAGATAGATAGACCCTCACAAGCAGCAAACAGCGGAAGTCCAGCTGCATCAGAGCTACTCAACGAGTCCATATGGAAACATAATGTGTTCTGCTGAGGGTCACAGTTGCGGTCGGTCGGTCTAGCAAAGCCTGAAGCTCATTACGAGGCAGGAGTTAATGACTTTACAACACCGTTTGGGAAATCAGTCCAATACAATTATCTGACATTGGCTCCAGATGTCAAATAAACCATTACTGTAATGCTCTGCATTACGTTCTGCCTTGTCCATATGTTCTCTGCATAGAACCATGTTGGTGTCCACAGTAATGGGAGAGAAAAAATTAACAGGGCCGGTCCTTTATTGTCCATATAAACATACATATACTGGTTTTATAGCTATGGCCACCTCAGCAGTGTGAGTGGGACTGTCCCAGCACTCACAGAACCGGGCCAGAGCAGAAGTTTTTCCAAGCACACGTGTGTTGCGTCACTGCGCTCCCTGGGTTCCAGAATTAAGTCACACACATGGAAGCTTTTAAGAAGTGTAAAAAAAAATAAAAAAAAAATAGTAAAACGGCACTAATCTAAGTCTGTCACACGGGTTTAAAACGTGACATCACACCGCGGAAAAATCAGACTCCAAGGTTAACTCTGTGCAGTAATACACACTCCCTGACACATGGAGGAGAAACAGTGACGCTAACATTCACTCCCTCGCACCCATACATAAGAACATAAGAACTATACAAACGAGAGGAGGCCATTCGGCCCATCGAGCTCGCTTGGGGAGAACTTA